CCCACCCCCAGCACCCCCAGTCCTCCCCAGTGCCCTGAAGCCAGCCTGGGTGTCCCTGCAGGATCCTGAAGTTCCTGGTGGCCAAAAGGAAGTTCAAGGAGACCTTGCGTCCCTACGACGTCAAGGACGTCATCGAGCAGTACTCAGCCGGCCACCTGGACATGTTGGGCAGGATCAAGAGCCTGCAGACACGGTGAGCTGCCCTGGGGTGGGGAGGGGGCTCCCCTGGCTCTCCCCGCCACTAGCCATGCCCACGGGGAGGGGTGCTGGCCCGTCACTATGGCTGGGGCCTGTTCCCAGAGCCGCCCTGTCCCTTGGGGTGTCCCTCGGGCTGGCTGGGAGTGATGGGCTGTGTCACTCCCCTCCCCGCCAGCGTGGACCAGATCGTGGGCAGGGGGGCCCTGGCTGCGGACAAGAAAGTGCGGGAGAAGGGGGAGAAGGCGGCGCTGGAGACGGAGCTGGTGGACGAGCTCAGCATGATGGGGCGCGTGGTCAAAGTGGAGAGGCAGGTCAGGAGGGGACAACCCCCAGGGACCATGTCACCAGCCCTTCGGTGCCTGCAGGGTGGCGGACCCGGGACCCCCAGGTCCCCTCCCCGTGAGGAGGGACCCGCTCAGCCCTGCCCGGCCTTGCAGGTGCAGTCCATCGAGCACAAGCTGGACCTGCTGCTCGGCCTCTACTCCCAGTGCCTCCGCAAGGGCTCCATCAACTCCTTCAGCCTGGCCGCCGTGCAGGTGCCCCCCTGCGAGCCCGACATCACCTCCGACTATCACAGCCCCGTGGACCACGAGGACATCTCGGTCTCTGCCCAGACCCTGAACATCTCCAGGTCGGCCAGCGCCAACATGGACTGAGCAGGGAGGCAGCGGGATGGCTCCTGCCAGCGTGACGCGGTGGGACGGGACGCTGGGATGTGGGAGCAGCGGGGATGTCCCTCGCCGTGTTACTTGAACCAGACCTGCCTTTGTGGGGGGCACGGCTGCAGTGGGGTGCCCGCTTTGGGGATGGGGTGGGAGCCCGTGGCACTGCGACACGGCCAGCCTGCGCTCCTGGGATGCTCCCGGGATGCTCCTGAGATGCTCCTGCCCATCCTGGAGGGTAAGACCCCCCCAACCCCAGCCATGTCAGGGGTGCTCCATCCCCTGGGGTTTGGCTCGTAGCCCCAGCCCTCAGGACGTGCCCAGCTCCCCGGTGGGGCCCTGCCCAGTCCCCCGGCACTGAGCCACGGCCACCAGCCACCTATGCAAGGCTCCATCTCCCTTCTGCTGCTGGAGCTGAGCAGGGGCGTTGGAGTTTCACTTGTGTCGCTCCAGGTCAGGGCAGCGGTGCGGGCCCCCCCCAGGCCAGGGAGCAGGGGTCTGTCCCCCCTTCACCCTCTTCTGCCTGGGTTTTTTCCCTGCACGCAGAGCTGCAGCTGTGGCTGCACCTCTAGAAGCACAGCAGAGCCTTCTGCCTGCCCGTGCATGCTCCCAGGGCAATATATATATAGAAGAGATATATATATATATTTATGCAATAATGTCTTAATATGCAACGCCCCCGGGAAGAGCAACCCGTGGGGACATAGGCAATAAGCAAACCCCCCTACGAGCACACAGGGCTGGATCCTGCTGCCCGTGGGGGCCCGCCTGGGTGCCCTGGGGGCTCAGGGCTGATAAACCTCTGCCCGAGGGTGGCCCCGGGGCTACAGGGCTGGGCAGGGGGGGGCTGTGGAGGAGGGAGGGGGTGCAGGCACAGGAGATGGGAACAGTGGTCCCTGAGGAGCGTCCCTCCCTCTCGTGTGGCAGACCCTGCTCTTGCGTAGAGGATTCCTTCTGTCGGGTCCTGCGGTGCTCAGTTTGTCCCTCCCCATGTCCTCGTCCCCTCCATGGCCCAGGGAGCACGGGACGGGCCTGGGGGGTGACTGCCCTGTGGGGACAGAGCGGTGTTGGCCTCCTTGCATGCCACTCGCAGCTCCCGCACCCCCCTGCTCCCCATCGCTTCCCGGGGATGCTCTGCTGTCCCCCCGCCATCTGCTCTGCCTGTCCCTGCCTGCTTCAGGCAGGACCCACACTCCTGACCCCACATCTGGCAGCTGCCTCCTTTGGGCTGGACTCTGCCTGTGGTGGCCAAGGGGGATGGAGGGGGCTGGGGGAGGTGGGTGGTCTCACCTCCAGACCCCACAGGGGCTGATCCCGATGCCTGGGGGGGTGTCTCACTCCTGCATAGGCTGCCTGGCGCCTGTACTCGACAGACGACAGCCGGGTGTACCTGACAGCCACGTGGTGTTACTACGACAGCCTCCTGCCCTCCTTCAGGTAGGCAGGGTGCGGGCGAGGGCTGCGGGGGTCTCGGGGGGGTCCCTGAGGCACCAGGAGCGGCCACGTGGAGCCACCGAGGGCTTGGTGAGGTTGAGCAGCACAGATGGCAGCTCAGCCCTGGGACGCCAGAGCCCCAACACAGCATCTGCCGAAGCACCCAACACCTTCCTCCATCCTCACCATCCTCACAGCGCCCAGCGCCCGTCCCACCCTGTCCCATCCCACCCCATCCGTGACCTTCCTCCCGCACCGCCGCGGGGAAGAGGACGGTGCCAGTGGCTGCAGGGACCTCATACGGCCCTGCCCTCCTGCCTGCCCCTGCCTGTGCATGCTGCCCGCGCTCCACGTGTTCCTTTACGGTGACAAATTCATTGTTCTGTTCCCCTCTTTCATTTTTTCAAAGACAGGGTTCTTAACAGCCGCCGCAGCGAGTCCCTCTGGTCCCCAACCGAGGAGATCCGGCTGCCCGCCCGTCGCCCCCGAGCGCGGTGCTGGGCTCTCCCGGCCCCTCCTGCCATGCCAGGAGCCGTTTCTCCGGCAGTGGGGAGTTGAGATAAGGCCGAGCTCAGTCCCTGCTGGGTCTGAGCTTTCCCCTCCAGGCTGCTCCAGCTGGGATGGTGGCAGGTC